GAGTAACATAACAACACCCTCTGAATAAACCAAAAACCAAACTCATTGCCACTGAGTCAATTTCAACACAGAGTGACCCTACAGGACAGAGTAGAACTGACCTATAGAGTTTTCAAGGCTGTAATATTACTGCCACATCTTTCTCCCACAGAGTGGCTGGTGGGTTTGAACTGCTGACTGTTTGATTAGCAGCTGAGGGCTTAATCACTGAGCCACCAGTGCTCCTTACCCTCTGAAAGTGCTTTAAATTCAGGTCAAATCCAGTTTCTTTTTCCTCCCCCATCTAAACTATAATTATTTTCTTTAGGTAGATCTAAAAGCCAATTTTAGTCACCTATTCCAATTTTTCTCATCACTGATTCTTTTCATCTGAGATGCCTCATTTCTCTCAATATAATAAGAAAAGGTTGAAACAATTTACATCATTTTATATTATTTCAGTTGTGACTATAAAAATCATCCTCAGATCACAATAAAATTAAACCATTAGGGATCTGATTCACAAAAAAAAAAAAAATTCAAAATATTTTCAAATAAAAGTTCCAATTTCAATGTGAAAATACAACATGCATTTTGGAATCAAACAGCTGTAAGTCTCAACCTCACTATCAGTTTGCTACTTCTTGGCTCCACTGAGTTTCTGTCTTCTTCATTCCAATAACCCTAACACCTGGAAAAGTACCTGGCACACAGCAAGACCTCAATTCACATTTATTGAATGAAAGAAAGTTATCTTCTACGAGGCTCGTTGTATTTATATGAAAGACATGGGGATATCAGTATCATTGCTTATTTTCACAAGATTCTTTCTGAAGGTGCCAAGCACAAAGGAGAAGGTAGGACTGACCCACTGTGGATCACCAAAATAATAGGTGACCATAATCATCAGAGCTTTATAAAGAATTACAAAATATAAGTCATAGAAACAAACTGTTTGAAGTAGCTACTTCCAGTAACAGAATTTGAGACATAAAACTAAACTAAATTAAAAAACAAAAAGCAAAGCAGCACGAAACACAATGAATTAACTTAGAAAAAACAGTAGAGCAAAGCAGACTAGTAAATAGTGTACCAAATCTTAATTTCCTACAAGGGAAAACATTTTATGAGATTAAAACTACCCACGTTATACTAAAGCATTTTTAATTTTTTTGTGGGCTTTTACAAAATACCCTTTTCCATTAATCGTATTTATGAAGTATTAATTATAAGGAAAACAATGTAAAACACGTTTCCTGGCATTAAAGTAGATTTGGGAAACATTTTACGAATATTCCACAATCTATTTCTCATTTCTTAAATGGAAATTTCCTTTTAATTCAAGTCGTGTTTTAGCCTACTTCCTTACTCTTTTTGCTGTTATATGATTTCATTCACCTCAAAGTAGCCCAGGAATCAAATTTTTGGAAGACACTTATAATACAAATAAGCAGCAAATACCTCTAATGATCATACTACAATAGTCCAAAGGTTGACCAATAGAAGTGGTATATTTTGGATAAAATGGCACACACATAGAAAACACTTTAACTCAGTAATCAACTAAAGACAGTATTTAATGTATGTCAGACTGTGGTGGCTTGTGTGTTGCTGTGATGCTGGAAGCTATGTCACTGGTATTTCAAATACCAGTAGGGTCACTCACAGTGGACAGGTTTTAGGGAAGCTTCCAGACTATGATGGACTAGGAAGGAAGGTCTGGCGATCTGCTTTCAAAAATTAACCAATGAAAACCTTATGGATCACAATAAAACACTGTCTGGCTCACTTGATTTGGACATGTCATCAGGAGGGATCAATCACTGGAGGACATCATGTTTGGTAAAGTAGAGGGCCAGCGAAGGCGAGGAAGAACCTTGGTGAGATGTTTGGCACAACAGCCGCAACGATGGACTCAAACATGCTGGCAATCATGAAGATGACCCAGGATTGGGCAACATTGTACAAAAGGTCACGAGTCAGTTGGCAGCTACCTACCTACCAATCTATTTAATGTACTTAACACAAGCACACCAAAACAACCACTTGGTCTACCACGGTAAAGTTAAATCTAAGAGTCCCAAATAAAATTTATGAAAAGTGAAAAACCAAAACAGTTGGTGTGGGGTCGATTCCAACTCATGGCGACCTCATGAATGTCAGAGTAAACTGTTTTCAATGGTTGATTATTTGGAAGTAGATCACCAGGCCTTTCTTCTGAGGTCCCTGTGGGTGAACTTGAACTGCCAACCTTTTGGTTAGCAGCCAAGCACTTAACCATTTATGCTAGGGACTCCAAAATGTATGAAAGGATTCCCTTAGTCATTTTTTAATTCCCAGGCCAGTAATTGAGCAACCTTTGCAATATCTGCCCAGACAACAAAAGGATGCAGCTGGCAGGCTGCCTTTCTTTAATCTTACCTTAGAGCAGGAGTTAATGAGATCAAGGTTGCAAGTTCAATCAGGAATGGGCCAGCTAACTTTGTTCAGAGAATAACTCTTACAGTCATACAGCCTAACTCTAGTTACCCAGCTAACAAGTGGATAGCTGTCATTCATTATCACTAACTGAAGAAATAAATCAAAATGAACTAATGATTGTGATTCAGGGCCATTTTTGTATAAAAGATAGCATGTGCATTCCCAGCACCTAAAAATTATATTTGTTACCAACACTTCACATTTTAATTCCTCTTAAAATCCTCAAATTTACCGTGTTTTTTGCAAATAACATGCCTACACATACAACACGTGCATAGCTCACTTATGAAAATAGCAAGGAGGTTGCACAGGTGATAAAAATGTATAGCACGTGTTATTTGTGTAAAATACAGTATTTGGAAGTCTTAGTTCTTTGCTGGGTAAAACTACTTTTACATTGTAAGCACCTAACAACTGTTTGTAGAATAGGCAGAAATTCAGGAATTTTTCTATATTGAGTCAAAGTCTTTGGCTCCTTTTCAACCCCCTTTCAAATTTCCCAACATAACAGAGAAGTACGAAACATTCAGCCATGTGCCCTCTTTTGTTCAAACAAATCAAAAATATCTAAATATAAGTGACCCTCTACACCGGTACTGCTAGAACCTAAACTTCTTAATATAAAAAAAAAAGACGGACTGCTACTAAGCTGCCTAAAAAACAACTTATGTAAATTAAAATCCTGTTTTTCTAATATTGTTGGCCCTCTTTTTTTAAAGAGTCTTGTAGCCTTTTCTAAATTAGAACAATTTTATCCCATCACTATTACGGCCTCCTCTACAAGCGTAGAATAGCCCAAATGTAACCAGCCTAATATCAGACAAGACATACTTCAAAGTACCTCATGGCAGAAAACTAAAGCATAAAATAACAAACATGGTTGTACTTATGGCCACTAGAAGTGAAGATATGGATTCAGATAACCCAGAATAATTTCTGGATCAAACACTGGCTTAAAATGTCTCTGAAGAAAAGCAAAACAATAAACTGTAGTACTGGTAATCTCTTAAACAGATGGTCTTAAATTAGCACAGGCTGCATCAGTGGAACCCTGGGCTCCCTGGAGGTGATTTAGGGTTCCATAAATGTTTCACTTGCATTCCATTTTCAAAATAGTCTTTATGTTTGAAAAGCTGAAATGAAAAACAGCATGCTCACTGAAATGTGTTATAAACCAAATGTAAACGCATCAGTTAAGCTGCCTGGCCACCCTGATTTTATGCAGACCTTGGAATAAAGCTTCTCCTGCCAGCTCTTTCCACATATCTGAACTTCTTGTAAACATGTCACTGATTAGGAAGGCTGCAGGTCTCCACTGAACTTTTTTTAAAACTCAGATGTGCACATGGCTGCTAATGTAAAATTATACCTAGGAACAGAGGTTATCTGTGGAAAACACGTTTTTCTTAATACTATCCAATCAAAATAAAATGCAGGATAAATAAGATGCTGCAGCTATTTTATGATCATAATGGCATCCCATCCATAATCTAATTCCACATTTCACAGTCTTAATGTTCTTAATTTAGAAGAAATTTGAACTTAATGAAACAAATGTATACTAATAAAGTATCACTTATCTGGGATTTGTTTTTTTTTATTTTTTGGGGGAAAAAGTTCAACAATTAGAAAAGAGACAGTCCAGTAATAAATTCACAGATTTTGAACTTTTTTCTACATAGCAACAATTAATAGGGCCAAACGACTCTGAAATCTGTTATGGCGATTGTTTCTACAATGCTACAAATTTTACATACATTTCATGGGCAGTCACCCAAATTCTCCTAGATTTTGAAGTTCAGAAAAATAAATGTCTTCAGTTAATTGTTTTTGTTTCACTTCCAGTTAATATTCCAATTATATCTACACCATATTAGGATTTTTAAACACTCTTTTGCAGGCTGGCATTATTCTTAAACTCTCAAATTGGTAGAAAAGAAAAAGTTATATTTAACTTAAACAATGTCTCCGTCACATTTATTAAAATACCTGAATCAGGAAAAGTTATTCCTTGAAGAAGGTTAAAAAGGAAAATTAAAATATTATAAAATTATAATATTAAAGTAAAATATACATAAAATAATAGCGAATTTTAATAGCACTTTCAATGAGTCTAAGGCATTCTTTCTCAAACCTCTCCACTGAAATAACCCATAATAACACAATAACCATGGGCCTCTGTATTCTGATAATGCAGGCTTAAGCAAACCAGGTAAACAATACAAAATTTATTTGTAATATTTTCTCTTAAAGATCCTTGTGAATTTTGTGTTGTATTTCATAATATGTTCTTTTTTTATTTTAAGACTTAAAAAATGCTTTCTCTCTAAAAATCTCTGAGTAAAACCAGAACTCCAGGAAGATGCACTATACTCATCCCAAGATAGCTGACATAATCCAGTAGTCATTAATACCCATTACAAGAGGCATGGACTGAAGTTCAATGCACTCTAATGTATTTCCATTTGCACTAATTAAAACACAATTCCTTCCAGTCTATTCAAGAGCATAATTTATTCTTCCTTGAATTAATGACTTACATTTTCATGTTTCATATGTTTAAGTAATCGTAGTTCTCTGTAGGTCCTTTTGGCATGAATGATGGACTGAAATGGTCTGGAGAGCTTCTTCACTGCCACACGTAACTCAGTCTTTGTATCAAAAGCAGCACTAAGGAATAAGAAAAGTCACCATTAAAAACGCCCTATATATTTTTGAGTATTTACAAGGCTAACTCATTTCCGAATTAAATGGTTTATATAACAAAATACAAAAGTGTAAAGATAAAAACTAAAATGTCCTATAATCTCACTACCCAAACAAAGTTTTTGTTATTATTTTTGGTATTCTTTTCTGGTCTTTTTTTCTATGCATCTAGACGGGGCCTACAAAGCTTTTCCATACAAAATATTTAAACTTCACGAGACACAGGGTCTCTGTCACAATTACTCAACTCTGTGGCTGAAGCTGGAAAGCAGCTATAGATAATAAGTAAACAAATGGGTGTGGCTGTCTTCTAATAAAACTTTATTTACAAAGACAAGCAGCTGCCTGATCTAGATAAACCAACAGACTGATATAACAGAGTTGGGATAACACTGTAAATTGGGTTTTGTGTGTCTTCTCTGCCTAGGCCTATCACCTTGCCACCACATGGAGCACAGGCCTCAGAAACCACCGCATTTTCAGAATAATAAGTTGTCACAAATATTTCTTGAGCACTCACAAAGTATTTGGCACTTTTCTAAGGGCTAAGATATAGTAGGGAACAAGTAACAAATCTCTGACCTCAAGGAGTTTATAGTTTAATGGGAGGAGGGGGAAAAGGCAGCATAATAGAATAATTTCTAATAGTGATAAATGCTATGACTAAGACACAGTAATGGGCCAAAGGGCAACAGAAAGCCAGTGGAGTTATGTTCCTTTAGCTAGGATGTCTGAGGAAGTAATATCTGCCCTGAGAACTGAATGATGAGAAAGTAGCAACCATGTATAGACACAGGGAAAAGGAGCTTCAAGCAGAAGAAATAATAATAATACTAACATTTATTGTTCACCACATACTAGGCTTTGTTCTAAGCCCTTTACATTACTTTTTTTTTATTACCTCTTTTAATCACCCTAACAGGCCTATAAAGTAAGTACTATTTTCATTCGCTATGAATAGAAATCGACTTGACGGCAACGGGTTTGGTTTTGGTTTTTTATAAATAAGAAAACTGAAGGACCAAAACCAAACCAACTCCACTGCCGTCGACTCGATTCCGACTCATAGCGACCCTACGGGACAGAGCAGAACTGTCCCATAGGGTTTCCAAGGCCGTAATCTTTATGGAAACAACATTGTCCTTCTCCCACAGAGTGGCTAGTGGGTTTGAAACACTGACCTTTCAGTTAGCAACCAAGCGTTTTTAACCACTGTGCCACCGGGGCTCCGTAACTGAAGCACAGAGAGGTTAAATAACTTGCTCATGATTGCAAATCTACAAAGTGGTAGGACAGGAAGTCTGGGTCCAGAGCCCATGCTACTAACCATTTCACTACACTGCCTCTCAAAATAGCAAGTGTAAACAAACAGAAAAAGAAAGAGAGGAAAAGTATGGTACTATGCTGGAGTGACAGAAAGAGAAAGACAGCCTGTGTAGGTGAAGCACAGGGAGCAAGGGGAAGAGTAGAACGGGATGAGGTCTGAGATGTAAGCAGAGGCCAGATCATGTAGGACCATCCATGGGAAGAAATTTGATGTGCATATTCATTATTTTTTGAGAACGTCAGGGCTAATTCCAACATGCCTCGTCCTCCTGTTTATTTCAGACTCAAACATGCATCCAAGACTTTCCGATCATCTATTATCACCAAGGAAAACCTGGTGATGTACTGGTTAAGAATTCGGCTGCTAACCAAAAGGTCAGCAGTTCAAATCCACCAGGTGTTCCTTGGAAACCCTATGGGGCAGTTCTACTCTGTTCTATAGGGTCACTATGAGTTGGAACTGACTCAACAGCAATGGGTTTGGTTTTTTGGTTTATTATCACCAAAGGTTCGTGGGTGCTAGAGTTCGCACTAGACTAATCGAAAGGCTGGCGGTTCAAACCTACCCAGCAGCGCCATGGAAAAAAGCCTTGGTGATCTGCTTCCATAAAGATCACAGTCAAGAAAACCCTACGGAGCTGAGTTCCACTCTGTAACACCCGGGGTAGCAACATAACACATTTGGTGTCTTTGATGTTATTATCAAACTCTCATCCCCATTCAACTCTGTAATTGCTCCAGTCCCTCCTCTTCTCCCCAAACCCTTATGCTATGCCCTCACTCTTTAACTCTCAATTTTTGATAGCCAAATTCTGCATATCTTCAACCTCTTCTCTGAACCTTCCCCCATCTCCTTGCTTTAGTTAAAAGTAGCCTGTACCTTGAAGACACTACTTCTCTTCCAAAAAAAAAAAAAAAACCTGTTGCCATCGAGTTGATTCCACTCATAAAGAGATTCTACAGAGACAGTACAACTGCCCCACAGGGTTTCCAAAAAGCACTGGTGGATTCAAACTGCCAACCTTTGGTCAGTAGCCAAGCTCTTAACCTCTGCAATCAGAGGGCATTTTCTCTCTCGTACCCTAGGTACCTTATGGCTAGCAGTTGGGGTAGCCAACCATTACCACTTTCACACCATTACTCCCCCTCTTTGTTTTACAAAAGGCCCTGCTCACAACCCTGATAAACCATCCTTTCCTCTCTGCTGCTGTTATCCACTGACCTCCTGGAATTTTCCATCATTCACTGAAAAGTTAGTTCCTATCTCAAAGTCTCTCTCCACTTCCAACTTCTGTCATCATTCTTGGCAACTTTAACATCCACGTGGAGGGCACATCCAACTGGTCTCTCAGTTTCCTGACCTCTCCAGGAAACTCCACCTTATCTAGTCACTCCCATAGTCACATCCTAGACCTCCACCGCCACCAAAAACTGTCCCACCTACAAAATTCTGAATGCCAGCACTCGCTTTCCATTACACCCTCTTACACCTTCTAGTTTACTTGCTCATGTACCCTGACTACATCAATTTGTTGACCTCATCATCATTGCTTGCTTCTACCCATCAATCCTCTCCTGTCTTGCCTGGTTTGCAGAACATATTCCAAGACGATAATCACTCTCTTGTACCTCTCTCCCTCTGATGTACTCAGCAGGCTAAAGTCTAACCTTGGGTGATCTCAACCACTCACCTTCTCCATGCCTACGTAGAAGGGACTAATTGTGGCTGAAGAAAAAAGAATGTAGAATCAGACAGATTGGTTTTATTTTTAATTTCTGACCTTAACCAAGAAAATAGGCTCTCTTAATTTCCATCTTTTGCTAGTACGTTCATCTTCCTACTCCAAGGTGATTATCTGACACTTTGTCTCTCCTCAAATTTCCAACTCACCATCCTCCCTCAAAGTGTTTCTGTCTTCATTCAGAAAACAGAAACCATCAGAGAAGAGCTTCATCTGCCTACCAATAAATTTATAAATTTCTCTATACTAGGATCCATCTTCTCCATCTTCCCTCTCGCTATGTAACTGAGGATTCGTGCCCCTTCTTATCAAAAGCCCAGACCTTAATACATGCTTTGGAGTCACCCCTCCCCCGCCCCTCCCCCCATCTTCTCAAGGACTTTACTCATTCCCTTTCCCCCTTGCATCATCAGTTTATCTACTATATCACCTTTATCAGCATGTTACAGTTATTTTCTATCCTCAACGAACAAACAGAAAACTTCCAGTTAGGCTCCCCGTCACAGTTAAAGTTCTCCAACAAATTATCTAAACCAGTGGTTCTCAAAGTGTGATTCCAGACTGGCAGCATCAGCATCACCTGGGAACTTATGGTAAATGTAAATTCTCAGGCCCTACCCCAGACTTACTACATCAGAAACTCTGATGTGGGCCCAGCAATCTGTATTTCATTAGGTCTACCAGGTAATTCTGACATACACTAAGGTTTAAGAACCACTGCTACTCAAAGTGTGCTCTATGAACCAGCATCATTGGCATTATCTAGGAGCTTTTTAGAAATGCAGACTCTTGGGCCCTAAAGTAGAACCTACTGTTTTGACAAGATTTCTATGCGATTCACATACATCTTAAGGTTTGGGAAGCACAGATTTATACAACTGACTCTATAATCTCAACTTCCATTCTTTCTTCATTCCATTCCGCTCAGACTGCTCTTCTCGGGGTCATTAATGACCTCTATTACCAAATCCAATGGCCATTTTCCTGGATTAGCAACTAACTTGGTTACCACTTCCCTTTCTTTAAATACTCTTCCCATACTGGACTTCTTATCAGCACGTTCTATTGATTATCTACAGCCTTCTCTGTCTCCACTGCATGTGCTTCCTCTACTCAAACTGTATGTGGGAGTTCTTCAGGGCATGGTACTGTGCCCTCTTCTGTCTCCCACACTCTCCTTCTAGATGATCACATCTATAGACATGGCTGTAAATTAAATGTCATTTATATATTGACAACTCCCAGATCTATATCTCACTGAAATCTCTTCTCTGAGCCTTATTGCTTACCTGACATCTCCTTATAAAAGACTCATAAGCACCTTAAACGTAAAAAAACCAGTTGCCGTCGAGTCAATTCCAACTCATGGTGAGCCCATGTGTGTCAGAGTAGAGCTGTGCTCCACAGGGTTTTCAATGGCTGATTTTTCAGAAGTAGATCACCAGGCCTTTCTTTTGAGGTACCCCTGGGTGGGTTTGAACCGTCAACCTTTGGTTAGCAGCCTAGAGTGTTAACTGTTTGCACCACCCAAGTACTCCCACCTTAAACTTAGCAAATTCAAAACACCCCAGAACTAGCTCTCTTCCTCTCTCCTTTATCTCAGTAAATGGACTGTCCATCCAGTTGCTCAACTCAGAAATCTGAGTGTGATCCTTGATTCTTCCCTTTCCTACACCCCCTCGACCCCCATTCCAAACCCTTCAGCAAGTTCCGTGGTTTCTATCTCCAAAACACATCTCTAATTCAACTTCTCCTCATTTTACTCCTATCATACTAGTCTAAGTCATCCGCATGACCAGTTTGCCTCCTTATACTGGTCCCCCTCCGAATCTATTCTCCACAAGCATCAAATAAAGCTTTTAAAAATATGAATTAGATCACACCATTCCCCTGCTT